AATTGCGTTCGCATACTGTTTCCGTCATGCACTTCACTTTGAAAAAACGTAGAATAATATAGAGTAAGGGTGTGGACCATTCTTTTCAACAATCACACAGTCATATCTTACAGTTTTGTCTACACCCATTCCATCCAAAAGAGTTCCCTAAACACTTGAAGACAAAGAACAATAAAAACAAATGAATCAGTCATTTTCGAAAGATTCGAAAAAAGACAATTTATTTTTTTAGCTTTATATCAACTTATGATCGTTATGTATATTTGTTTAAAGCTAAATTTGACAGTGAAATAAGTATCAAATAGATATTGGTATTCATTTTATCTTTATTGATGAATTCCTTCAAATGAAAAATGTCTTCGCTCAAAAATAAATGAATTTTGGGGTGTGGGTGTGGATACCATGAAATAAATCATACCCACACTCACACCCACACCCACTCGACTTCGATGTAACACATCAAGTCTTAGTTTAATGAGATTCTGTTTTGCGAATTTAGCAAAATGTTGTAAAATGTTAAATACTTCATCACGATCGATTTAGTCGAGCAGCATCATTTTCGTTTAGTTTTAATTTTTCTTCTAGAATTCGTGACAGTTCTTCCGAATTCTATGAAGCTGCAGTGGTAATAGTTCCAGTACAGTTTTGTAATAGCTTTTAGTCCAGTGTATTTCTAATCTTTTCATTGTTCAATTGGATCAAAATTTTAGGTTTTATGATTGCACATGATCCGACAAAAAATACGATAATGGAATTATTACTTTACTTATTTTTATATGGTTCAGTTGTGTAATACATGTCTGTTTACTATTCGAAGGAAATTTCTGAACAATTTGTATATTTTTATTTCATAGCCTTTAGAATAACAAATTGCACATTATAAAAAAAATCTTTGAATGGACTGCACTGAAACTTTTATTCGTATCAATATGTAAAATACAACTTAAATTCACAATAATCAGGGTTATCCATCGGGTTGCTCCATAATTCGGGTTCAAGATAATCAATTCAATCTTACGACCCATGCGCTGAAAACAATATTTAGAATTGTACTAGAGCCAACGCACTCAACAATTATCTAAGTTGGGTTGACAAGATGAGCTGATAAGAAAAACGATTTTGGTCATCTGTGATAGGTACTTTATCTGTTGAATACAATAAGTTTCGAAAGTATGTCTCATTGTTTATTTCAGAATGAAAAATTTAGACAACACATACATAATCATGCACAGACATAATATGCTTTAACGACCAAATTCACACACACTTCCTCCCTAATGACGACAGAAAGACAATGGAACAATAAAAAAAGGTATAGAAAAGACAATCATTATTGAACCAGAAACGATTGGTATTATGCTACTGAAATAACTTGGAAATGTCCATAAAACTGAAGTGACGAAGGTCTTATCATACCAACATATGCTCGATAATCTGTTCTGAACATAGATACAATAATATTAATATTTAGATCTATTTTAAACTGTATCTTACTTGATAATCGCTTTGCTGCCTTTCTCCGTACAATCTGATGATACTTGTGATGCGTGAACCGTTAAAAACTAAATACGTAACATTAAATTGTTCATCATAACACCTGTAATCAGTACATCCATTGTCGTTTGAACAGTCTTGACATTTTTTCTGTCGATATGAATAATCGTCGACAAAGCATGTCGTATTTATGTAATTATTTTTTTTTTCACGAATTCGAACACTTTCGGCAGCACCGTGTGCTAATCCGCCAATTGCTATGCCATCGAAAACGAGAAGAAATGTGTACCATGCTATCAAAAATGTGATTAAAAACGCTCTAAATTCCCTCATTTCGAATAATACAGGTAGTGTTTTTTATTCAAGCATTTTAAACGCGCATATACAGGAATACTCCAACATAAAGTTACGCATTTTATATTTATTTTCGTTCTTTATTCAGTAGAGTGTGACAAAGAATAATGTCACTTAGGCAGTCATATTAGAAAAATTACATATATAATTATGCAAGATAGCGTCATCGATTAGAGTAGATCTTGTGCAAGGGAAGGAAAAATTCTATTAGAATTACTTGTACAAATCTTTACTAATTCTAGTTGTTAAAGTTTCGTTTTTCCCTTTTCTTTTTTTATATTATATACATATCAGGTAGACGTTATGTGTCCTAATCTAAATGTACAATCTTTTTTTCATCAAAAATGAAAAACAAATATAATATATAATGTTCATAAGAAGAACGAAAAGAGAAGATACCGAACAGTGTATTTGTTTTAAACCTCAAAATATATAAAATAGCATTCATTTGACTGGAAGTGTTATTTATTTTCAATTAACTATGATATCATCATACACCTAACGTTGTATTCATAGAATT